GCGTTGTTTATTGCCAAAGCTCACCCCACCAGCGAGGTGTGCAGTCCATCCCATTTGGCCAGCCGTCCGACCGCCAAGTCGACCAGCGAGTCACCGTGGTCCGGGGGGGGCCCGAGGGCCGTCAGTCTCACCCCTAAAATTCTTAAGGCATCCTCTTTATTTGGCCATGCGACAGGGGGGGGGGGGGGGGGGGGGGGGTCGTGAGGGTGGAGCCACCATCCCTCCGTTTTGGAACCCCAGTTAACCTTCATATCTGCGGCCAGGGAAAACAAGTGGATGACATGAGTCACCCCCCGCAAGCTGTACGTATCTACCCTCTCTCTCTCTCTCTCTCACACACACACACACACACACACACACACACACAAGAGTTTCACAGTGTATTTCCATGTTCTACCGGTATTTTCATTCGATTTTGCTCATCCTATCGATGGAAGTACCATGAGGCCAGCTGCGAGGTTGGAGACTAAGCTGTTCTCTCTCTCTCTCTCTCTCTCTCTCTCTCTCTCTCTCTCTCTCTGTGCTATCAGCAAAGAAGAAGAAGACTAAGGAGACAAAATAAAATTACCTGTGCAAAATTTTTAGGACTCAACTCTATAATGAGTCTATATCAGTCATGAAAAAAATGGAAAAACAAAATTCTTGCTTTTTTTTTTTTTTTTTTTTTTTTTGATCGATTTTTATTTCTCACTTTTTAAAATTTGTAAATGAAGTCAGATTCCAAAAAAAGAAAAATGGGGTTGTAGGGTTTTGCAAACCCTAGAACCCATACATATTTATAGTTATGATCCTGGCCAATTTCGAAGTATACATTCGTCAGAAAGTAGAATGCCGTCCAATGGCAAAAAGAAATGAATGAACTTGAGAGGAGAGAGAGGGAAAGAAGAAGAAGAAGATGATGTACTCCAGCATAGGCCAGTGACAATGCTTTCCTCTTTCACCAACCACTCTCCGCCTCCTTATATCCTCCCCTCTTATTCAAACAGGAAATAACAACAATAATGTTGAATGGCTGAACCAGAATCGATGTCGGAATCCCTCTGCGATTGTAGGCACAACATGAGGTCCACCATAGCCATGTCCACCATTCCTCTTCCTCTTCATGTAGGCCGAGGCTATGGCGGAGTACTGAGGACTCTACCCTCCTGTCCAAAGGACAACCCAAAGCAGCTATGCCGCTGCCCATGGAAGGTGGAAACAAGGATGGCCGGTTGGAAAAATTATGGCCCTCTACATATGGTAGCAGTTTAGAAGCGTGAATGACACCATAGGTCTTTAGGTGTGGGGGTACATCAATTCGGTATGATGGCCCATCTGTGTCCCCTACCACCTTGAGAACTTCCCAGGGTAGCAATTTCTGAGATATGGTTACAGTAAATCAATTATTGCATCTCTCTCTCTCTGTCTCTGTCTGTCTGTCTCTCACTCTCTCTCTCTGTCTCTGTCTGTCTGTCTGTCTCTCACTCTCTCTCTGTCTCTCTCTCTGTCTGTCTGTCTCTCACTCTCTCTCTCTGTCTCTATCTGTCTCTCTGTCTGTCTCTCACTCTCTCTCTGTCTCGTACTCTCTCTTGGTCTCTGTGTCTCTCTCTCTCTCTCTCTCTCTCTTTTTACATGCATGATCGGATAAATGTGGGAATT